ACACCCATCACCACCACCGCACACGCCTGCATTACACCAAGTGCACACCCATCACCACCACCGCACACGCCTGCATTACACCAAGTGCACACCCACCCACACACCTGCATCCCGCCCATGAACATAACCACCTGCACCCCTGCAGGCCCCTCCTGGGTTCAATTCCAAGTTCCTCGGGTGGGGCCTGGACCCAGAACCTCAGACTTCTCTCCCCACCTGCCAGGTCTAGACCTAGTCACAGCAGGGTCCCCACAGACCAGCATGTGACAGCACGACTCCCCAACGACCAGGCTCAGAGACTCTGAGGTGGCCAGCTCTGCTGCCTGCATCAGCACCTGGCCTTCCGTCCATGGGCCACGGGGATTGTTAGATTTCTGTTTATAAGTATTTATAAGGTTTGTTACATGAAGACAGTTATAAGTACATGGAAATATATCAAAGTGTGTATAAGTACATGGAAATATATCAAAGTGTGTAAAGCGGTATTAGTGTCTTGGATGTGTCTTATAAAAATGCACAAGGATATAAACACATAACTTGGAGGAATACAGTTGTGTATGTACAAGGATAGATATCTGCCTATGAATAACAATGTGGGTGAGGTCTGTGGCTGTATGTCTGTCTGTCTACATACACAGCAACGTGGGGCAAGTCTACGGCTGCATGTCTGACTTCGTAAGGATGTGAGGGTGAGGTCCACGGCTGAATGCCTGGCTGTGTACGTACGTGACGGCCCGGGTGAGGTCTACGCTGAATGCCTGACCGTCTACGGACACTCACCTTCATTCGGGGGATGATACGCAGAAAGCGGAAGACGATGAGCATGTTCACCAGCCGCGTCATGTCCCACAGCGTCCGCACGCCGTTGGTGTGTGGCTGAGGCTTCCTAGGGACACAAGGACGAGGTCCCACGTGAGACAGCAACACAGCAGGGTTCACCTCACGAGCCTGCTGCCTGCAGCCCTGCAGAGGCCTCACCCACAACCCGCCCTTGACCAGGACGGTCAAGCACAGGGACTCCTGGGGGCCCCGGTCTCTATGTGCTCTTTTCTGTGTTAAACCTACTTCAATTAACCCCAAAGTGTCACCCTAGTCCCAAAGCACTGACACACGGCCACATGGGCAGCCTTGAGATGTCCTTCAGACTGGGATGTGCCAGCGTAACTTAGATGCCCCAGAGCCCCGGTGCCCGCTGGACAAAGGGCCTGGTCCTCCTGGACCTCTGGGCAACTAAGTGTCCAGCCTGGGGACACCATGGGGAACGGGGAGCAGGCACGTGGCCACGTGGGTCCGCCTCTGGGACTTGCCTTCCGGAGCATGCAGATACGTAACAGGGTACCCTGAGTGCCCTGGCAAGGTGCCCAAGCTTCGGGGAGCAGGGCTCCTAGACCAGCCCATCCTGAACCCCTCAAGAGTGCTGCTGAGGACTGGGGGGCACCAGCCTGTCAGGGAAGTGCCTGAGACCCTTTTCTGGGGTGCTAGCAGGCACCAGGAATTCCTGCGGTCACGCACCAGCCTGGGTATGGAACACGGTACACGACCATTGTTGAGATTTCCAACACCTGTAATTAGAAAAAGACAAGCATGCAAAACAACTGTGAGATATTATCTCACCCCAGTGAAAACAGCCAAATTTAACAGAACAGCAACCAACAAATGTTGGCGAGGTTGTGGAGAAACTGGAACCCTTATTCACTGCTGAATACTGGGAGTGTAAAATGGTGCCAACCACTGTGGAAGGCGGTGTGGCACTTTCTCAAAAAGTTGCAAATAGAGATAGCATCTGACCCAACAATTCCACCATTAGGAATATACCCTCAAGAAACCGTAACTGCCACCCAAGCAGATATATGCACACCCATGTTTATCGTGACTTTGTTCAGAAGAGCAAAGAGTTGGAAACAACCCAGGTGCCCATCAACAAACGAATGGATAGAGAAGCTGTGGTATATTCACACAATGGAATACTATGCTACATTGAAAAACAAGGAACTCATAGAATATTGTTCAAAATGGGTGACACTGGAGGACATTATGCTGAGTGAAGTATCTCAGTCAGAAAAGGACAAATACTGCATGATGCCACTGTTATAAAAGACTGACATCGGGGTTGGGGGGAGACTGAGAAAGATGGGTTCAATAATGTATACTGCATGAAACAGATGAGGGAGAAAACTGTTTAAAAGGGATATGTGATTAGGTATTATTGTCATGACAGGAGTCCAGAGTGAAGGCTGCATAGTGGAGTGGACATGGAGGGGAGGGACTGTATCAATGAAATAATTTTTCTTTTACTTTTCAAAGAGAAGATTGTACTGGGCGGGGAGGGGTGGGCAGGGAGAAAAGTGCAACAATGAATGAATGGAAATCCAGTCTCTGTAAATTTTCACTAAAATGAATAATAATAATAATAATAACCCCCCCCCCAAAAAAAAAGAAAAAGAAGCATGGCTGTGGCCAGGCTGACCCAGCCGCTTGTGCCCAGCAAGCTCCGTCTCCATGCTCTCGCTCAACCCACTGATGAAAGCGGGTGCCCCCCAGAATCTGGGTGGGCAAAGGGACAAACTCAGGAGAGGAGTCTCGATTGCCCGCCAGGCAAGGAGGGGTCTGTATCACTGGAACATCATGATGGTGTCCAGCCGTGGTCCACCTTAGTGTCGTGAACAGAGTTCAGTGTTCCTTGGACACCCGAGTTCACCCTGCCCGAGTGCTGGCCAGCATGGGGTCCCTCAGGAGTAGGAGGCATGGTCACAGGTGGTGGCCTGGGCCCCAGTGTTGTATGCACAGACCCAGCCCCCTCCCCCCCAGAGGCAGAAGCCAGCCGCCCAGCATCCTCCGGTCTAGGGAGGTCCCCAGCCTCCAGCCTCACCAGCAGGACTAAGGTGAGGATGCCATCAAACAGGTTGCTGCGGTGAGACAGGTAGCCCCACAGGCCCACGGCGAAGATCTTGAGCCACATCTCCAGCTGGTAGTACAGGATGAAGGCGGAGTTGAGAACCTGCGTGGGCAGATGGATCAACTCAACGCTCCTGAGTCCTGGGCCCATCGGGTCCTGACCCAACTCACAGACAGAGCCACATGATGGGACCACCAGGCTCAGATGCCACACAGACAAGAGCTCTAGTCCTGGGACCACTCGGCCCTGACCCTACTCACAGACAGAGCCCTAGTCCTGGGGCCACCAGGCCCTGACCCCACTCACAAAGTCCCATGACGGGACACCAGGCCCTGACCCCACACAGACAGAGCTCCAGTCCTGGGACCACCAGGCTCAGATCCCACACATACAAGAGCTCTAGTCCTGGGGACACCAGGCCCTGACCCCACACAGACAGAGCCCCATGATGGGACACCAGGCCCTGACCCAATCCACAGACAGAGCCCCAGTCCCGGGTCCACTAGGCCCAGATCCCACCTACAGACAGAGCCTTGGTCCTGGGACCACCAAGTTCAGACCCCACATATAGACAAAGCCCCAGTCCTGGGACCACCAGGCCCTGACCCCACGCAGACAGAGCCTTGGTCCTGGGACCACCAAGCTCAGACCCCACCCACAGAGCCTCAGTCCCGGGAACACCAGGCCCAGAACCCACACACAGAGCCCTGATCCTGAGAATGGGGGGCCACTAGGCCCAGACCCCACTCATGGGAGAGCCTCATTCCTGGGATTCCCATGTCTGAAAGCACATAGGAGCAGACAAAAGCTGCAGCCCCCCAACTCAGCAGCTTGGCCTAAAGGGAACCCTTGAACCCCACCCTGCGGAGTCAGCAGCTGCTAACACGCTGTGCTCATCTGCCTACCCACCACGTAAGGGCACCCAGGTGCTCCCCACAAAGTGCACTCAAGGCCTGCCTTCAGCCCTGCTGCTCCTGTACCACTCAGTCTCCCCAGGGACCACTGGTCCTTCAGGGACAGCCTGTCCTCCTGGGCTGGTGCCCTCCAACACCCTGGAGTGCCCCATACCTGCCCCCTGCAGAACGGGCCACCTCAGGTGGGGTGCAGAACTCACCCCCAGCATGAATTCATCATGGTCTTCAGGTACCACGTCTGAGTCCAGCATCAGGAACACCTGTGGGCCAGACAAGGAGGCAGCTTGCCAAGCAACACCCCCCAGCTCTCCCTCTGTGCACCCCCATGCTGCAATGGGGAGCAGGGGAGCTGGCCCCCACGTCACACCCCGGGCAGCCCTGTGCTCACGCAGATGGACAGGAGATTCCCCAGCGCTATGAAGTTGCCCAGGTAGTCGAAGTAGTAGTGGCCGAAGAAGAACTGGGCACTCCGCAGAAACGGCAGCTGGTACTCGGGCCACGGCGGATGCTGTCGAGGGGGGGTGCACGTGTCGGGGGTTTGCACGGCCCTCCACGCACGTGCCACCCCTCCAGGCCTACGGCCAATACAGGCCCCCAAACCCCTCGTCACGGGTGGCATGTGTCCCATCTGCACCTCACGGGGCTGCTTCCCGCCTGTCAGAGACCCCGCCCACAGAAGCAGCCACCCACCCGGGACATGCACCCCCACGGCACAGCTACCTCCTTGACGACCCTCCTGTCCACCTCATTGATGAGTTTCTGGAACTCCTCGGCCGACAGCAGCCTGTCACCATGGGAGCGCACCTTCTGCAGGAGAGAGGAGCAGGGTCAGCGGCTGCCCGGCGGCCCCCAGGAGGCAGACCACAGAGGAGGCGGGGCCCGCTGTACCTGCTCGATGACCTGCTTGCAGTGGGAGGCCATCTCGACTTTCTGGAGGACCTGCAGGAAGGTCTCGGGCTTCACCCCCACTCTGCGGGAGAACAGAGGGCATCTGTGAGCAGGGCGGCCCCCGGGCGGAATCCTGACACCCACACTCTGCTCGGGCAGCCCCTGCCCCCACACGAGGAGACTCTCCAACCTGAGACCCGTGAGGATGGTCCTCCCCACCAGCAGCCCGCCCACCCTCTCTGTCCACAAGCATGAACGGCAAGGCTGGGGGAGGACCGCTGGGGGAGGACTACTAGAGGAGGACCACTGGGGGACCATCAGAGGATTACTGGAGGACCACAGGAGGAGGATCCCTGGAGGACGACTACTAGAGGAGGATTACTGAGGGAGGACTAATAGAGGAGGACCACTGGAGGAAAATCACTGGGGGAGAGTAATGGAGAAGGATCACTGGAGGACTACTGGAGGACCACTGGGGGCACCATTGGAGGGGGACCACTGGAGGGGAGGACCAGTGGAGGAGGACTACTGGAGGCCTGTGTGACTGGATCAGCCCATGAAGTGTGGAGCACAGACCCAGGGCACTAGGACCCCCAAGACCCTAAGCCCAGGCCCTGGGATGGAGACAAGGACCAAGCGTGAGCTGACAGGAGTCCACACAGATTCTTGGGCCCCAGGATTCCTAACGGGGTGTTTCAAGTTCAGTGCCAAGGACTGTGGCCAAGGCTGGTGATGCTGGTGGCATAACCGGTGCTGAGGGGTGGTCAGCGTCATGGTTAGCATCGCCGAGGGGCATGCGTGGGCACTGGCTGGCACACATCCTGCTGTCTCACTAGTGAGGAGGCAACCCAGTGCCGGGCAGTGGGGACTCGGAAAACAGGGAGAGATGCTGAGTGGACCCCTCACAGCCCAGAGCTGAACAGCATAGGGCTCACCATACAGTGGGTGCTGGTGTGGACCCCACAGCCCAGAGATGGACAGGAGGGGCTCAGTACACAGGGGGTACTGGTGTGGACCCCCAAAGCCCAGAGACAGACAGCAGGGGTAAGCAAAGAGGGGGTGCTCGTGTGGACATCCCTTCTCAGTGAGAAGTTTACAGCATCCACTCTCAAGTGAAGAGGCCCCCGCCCTCAGGTCCCACACAACCCCCGACTCACATCTGAGTCTGGGTCTCTCTCCCTCCCTCCATGGAAGCAAGGACTTCGAAGGCAGCCCGGGTGCCCAGCCGTCTGCGGAAGAGGGATGTCTGGAGAGAGAGCTGTGGAGAGAGGACACTGAGGTGCATGGCCAACCGGGTGTGCAGACCCTGCTCATCCAGAAACCGGGCCAAGAGCTCACTGCACCGCCCCGAGGGCCACTGAGACTCAGGGACACGTGGGGGCCCTGTGCAGTTAGCGCACCCAGACATCACATCTAGGACCCCCGGGAAACAGACTCCCTGGTGGCCTTGGAGATGGCGGTCAGAGGACACAGGGACACTCATCCCCTTCCACAGAGGGCAGTGCTGGCCATTCCCCAGGGAGCCCAGGCCGAGGGAGGCCATCCCGTCAGCTCAGTCACAGATCACTGTGTCTGGTGCTCCTGCGTCCCTCTTGCCCAGACAGCTGGCCAGTGGCAGGGCCTCACCATCAGATAGCCCCGGAACTGGTTGTAGATGATGGCCGTCATCAGGTTCATCAGGAACAAGCTGCCTTCAAGAGGAGGGACCGGTCAGTGTCCTCCATGGCCAGCCAGCGCCCCCCATAGTCAGGCAATCAGGGTCTCCCATGGCCAGCCAGCGCCCCCCATAGACAGTCCGGCAATAAGCATCACTCACAGCCACGCAGCGTCCCCCAAAGACAGGCAACCAGTGTTCCCTAGGTCAGTCAGCGCCCCCCTCCAGCCACATCCCGTACAGCCGGTCAGCATGCTTCAGAGACAGACTATAAACTCCTCCATAGCCGGTCAGTGACCCCATGGCCAGTCAGCCTCCCCTATGGCCTGGTCAGCGCCCCCCACGGTCAGGTCAGCCTCCCCGACAGCCGGGTCAGTGTCCCCCACGGCCGGGTCAGCGTCTCCCTCTCAGGCAGACCCCACCGGCTCACCAATCACGGTGAAGAGGATGAAGAAGATGCAGTAGGCTCGGTTCTGGGAGTAGGCCGGCATCATCACTGGGGGCAGAGGGGGGCCCTCAGCACCTGCCCTCCCCGGAACCACGGGCCTTCTCACCGGGGGCCCACCCTCATGCCTCTCCTCGGTGCCCCTGAACAGGGCTCACTGTCCTCCAGGACCCCTGGCCACTGCTGGGCTGTCTCCCTCTGCAGGGCTCCCCAGACAGGCCAGCCTCCCTCCCAGCCCCCGAGTCGCTCCCTGCAGGAACCCCTCTCCTCTTCTGTGCCCTCACTCTCCCACCCTGTGCCCCTCTGTGCCCTCAGGACCTACCGGTCACCCCTTCACTGTCCCGCCTGCCTCCCCCGTGGTCCTGCCCTCCCTTAGGTCCTGCCCCTCTCAGCCCAGGACCCTGCCCAGCGCACCATCGGGGTTGTTGGCCGTGGTCAGCAGCACCAGCAGGGAGGTCAAGGCCTCGGGCAGGTTGCGGAAGTACATCAGTCTCTCCTTGATCAGCCCATTATCCTGCCGGGAGCAGGTGGGCGGGGTTTCTTTGGGGGGCATGTGGGCCGTGACCCTCTCTCAAGGACCACGCATGAACCACCCACTGTGGGGGCCAACTGCCACACCCACCACTCCCAACAGACTGTGCTCCCAAAGCACCCTGGTCATCGGGCTGGGCGTTGAGACCACCCCCGGCCGCCCACTCAGCCACCTCACCTTCTCGCCCGTGAACAGGAGCATCCCGAACATGGTGAAGAAGGCCATGTGCAGTGCCAGCAGCAGCGCCACGCTGGTGGGGACAGGCGGTCAGGGCGGCAGGCCGGCCACACGGCACAGTGCCACCGGCCAGCACAGGCGCCACCCCGCACGGTGTGCTCCCACCTGGCCACCTCTGGTAGTATACACCCCTCCACCTGGCCATCTCGGGCAGCATGCACCCCACAGCTGGCCATCTGGGGCAGCATAAACCCCACCTGGATGCCTTGGACAACACAGACCCCCCCACCTGGCCACCTCTGACAGTATGCACTCCACTACCTGGCCACCTCAGGAAGCATGCACACCTCCACCTGGCCATCTCGGGCAGCGTGCACCCCACAGCTGGCCATCATGGACAACTCAGACTCCCTACCTGGCCACCTTGGGCGGCATGGACCCCCCGACCTGGCCGGCGTGGACCCCCCCACCTGACCACCTCGGGCGGCGTGGACCCCCCACCTGGCCACCTTGGGCGGCCCCACCTGGCCATCTCGGGCATCGTAGATCGAATGCACTTGAGCGTCTTCTTCATCATGGAGGAGTTCTGCAGCAGGAAGAAGGGGCGGAGAAGCCGGCGGATGCGCACTCTCTGCAAGAGGACGGGGCGCACTGCAGACGGACGGCCTGTGAGTCAGGGCCACAGCCACCACGCCCAGGAGCTCAAGAGCCCAGTGCTTGGCCCCACCCCAGAGAGCCCAGCGCTCACCCCACCCCAGAGCCCAGGCTGCCAGGTGGATGAGGCGCCGGGACCAGCCGGGTCTCCTGTCTACAAATATGGATTTTCTGCCCCAGTCACATGAGCCAAAGTCCCAAATCTGTCCACAGTCCAGACAGAGTACACACATCACAGCGCAGACACAGATACACACGGGCAGGCGATTCAAGTCCACCAGCTGCTCCACAGGAGAAGGACCGGCCAGCTTGGGCGGGAGCTAGCGGTCGGTTCTCCCGGGACTCAGTGTGGGGATCAAGCAGCCGCAAAGCAGGGACCAGGAACGCAGCCCTCGGGTTCGCTCCGAGGCAGTCCACTCACCATCAGACAGGAGCACGGTTCCCCGGGGAACAGGGGCCGAGATCAGGGCCGTGGGGACGGCTGGGCGACCACAGGCCCACAGAGCTCTCTGCCCCCGGTACCCAGGCAGTGCCACCCAGCATGCACACCACAGAGCACCCCAGCTGCCCAGAGACCTACCTCCCAGCAAACGAAGCTCAGGGACACAATCCAGTCGACCAGGGACACTACCAACACGACCATGTAGGACAGCAGCCAGGGGCTGCTCCGGTACTGGGAAGGCCCGACCAGGTAGCTCTGCAGACAGGGACAGGGTCAGTGGAGCACAGGGACCGGCCCGCCCGCGCCCAGTGCGTGTGCGTAGGGCTTATTTCTAACGGCTTTCCAGCTATTTTCTGACTCCGTCGTGAGGATGGGCGGGAGTGTGCAAACAGGGCATGTTAGCGCGTCCACAAGGGGGACGGGCAAGTCTCGCCTCAAACCGAGAGGACGCAGCAGCAGGAGAAAGAGCTTCCCCTCCTGCAAAGCAAGGGAGGGTGGCTCACGCTTCGAGCCCAGGGATTTCTGTCTGCTGAGCTTACGGAAGCAGCAACCGTGGCCACAGCAGAGGGCCAGAGACGGGGTGAGATGGAGCTGGCCTTGGACGGCCAAGCCCATGGACAGAAGCACCGCTAAGCTGAGAGCCTTTGCTCAAGTTTGCTGGACAAATGGGCAGGAGGGAGCCGATACTGGCAGGACTGAGAACAGAACTTCGTAACGGTGGCCTTCAGCAGTGAGGCTCAAAACAGAGGTGTCTGTGAGCACATCACAGAAGCTATCCTGACTATACTCTGATATTAAAAGAATTCTATGAATTAGGGCTGGGCAGGGAGAAAAAAATGCACCAATGAATGAATGGAAATCCAAAGCCTCTGTAAATGTTCATTAAATAATAAAAAAAGAATCCTATGAAACATAACTTTGATAAACCTTCTTTATAATAGAATCACGTGGATTATAACCTTTGACTTCCCAGTATGGTTCTATGTGTTCTGTGAGATATTGCACTGGATTTCGGACTCAGGAAGGTAGTCAGGTACAAGTGTCAGGAAGGCTTCCTATCAGACGGTTCTGAGAAAAAGTCCTTCATCTTGAACTTCTCCTCCAGGACTGGCTTCTTGTGCCTTAGTGCCCCTTCTCTGCCAGGTGCTGATGCAAGAGGAGAGTTTCGAGGAGAGAGCGATGTGTCCTCTAGCACTGGTGCAGTTTTAGTTTACTTGGTTCCACAATCAACACTCTTGGGTCGCCCTCTTTCTCTACAGTGAGGCGGCCGAGCGGCAGACGCAAAGATGCAGATCTTTGTGAAGACCCTGACTGCCAGGACCATCACTCTTGAGGTCGAGCCCAGTGATACCATCGAGAATGTCAAAGCCAAAATCCAAGACAAGGAGGGCATCCTTCCTGACCAGCAGCGTCTGATATTTGCTGGCAAACAGCTAGAGGATGGCCGTACACTCTCAGACTACAACATCCAGAAAGAGTCCACCCTGCATCTGGTGCTGCATCTCCGTGGTGGCATTACTGAGCCTTCCTTGCGTCAGCTCGCCCAGAAATACAATTGCGACAAGATGATCTGCCGCAAGTGTTATGCTCGCCTGCACCCCCGTGCTGTCAATTGCCTCAAGAAGAAGTGTGAGCACACCAACAACCTGCGCCCCAAGAAGAAGGTCAAATAAGAGCCCCCTCTTCACTGCCTCCCTTGCCTCTTGCAGGTGGCCTTCTTCTGAGCCCCATGACCCTGGGCCCTCAATAAAGTCTCTTTCATTGAAAAAAAAAAAACCAAAAAACAAAAAACACTCTTGGTACCAGCAGCCAGGAAATCAGGAGATGAATTGCACTGGGTAAGTCAGTTGTCAGGACCTCTCAAGAGTACTGAAGAGCAACAATGTCAGGCTGGAGACTAAGGAACGCCTGATCCGGGCTATAGTCTTCACAATTATGTGCTATGCATCAGAGAGCTGGACTAGGGAGGATAGAAGAAGTGATGCCTTTGAACTGTGGTGCTGGAGAAGAGTGCTGAATATACCACGGACTGCTAGAAGAACAAACAGGTTCATCCTGGAGAAGGTGAAGCCCGAGTGCTCCTTGGAGTCAAGGATTCTGAAGCTTCATCTGACATACTTTGGGCATGCTGCCAGGAGGGGACTGGTCCTTGGAGAGGGACGTCATGTTTGGGAGTGCGGAGGGGCGGCAAAGGAGAGGAAGACCCTCAATGAGATGGACTGACCTAGTGAATGGAGTTAGGTGTGTCAGAGACAGTGAGGTTGGTTCAAGATAGAGCAGGGTTTAGGGCTCTTGTACATAGGGCCGCGATGAGTTGCAAGTGACTTGACAGCACATAACAACAACAAGGTAGTCAGGTGAGGAACACTGAGGTGAGGAGAAAGAGGTGTGGGAGGACAGGAGAGATGTCTGGCCTCATGGGACCTGGTTTTATGTTCTGCTGGAGATAGTTTGCCTTTGTGAAGTGGGCCCAGGCCAGATCTGGCCGTCCCCGTGTGGTCCTTGCTGGTTTTACTGTGTGGGTCACTGAGGCGGATTCAGGTGGACTGAAGCAGGGCCTGGACAGAGTGCTGGTGGCGCTGTGGGGACTGTGGTCAAGACGGTGTTCAGCCAGAGGACAGTGCAGCCAGACTACTCCCTGGAGGCAAGGGGAGTAAACCTTCATCCCACGTACTCTGGACATGTTGCTAGGTGGGGCTGTTCCTTGGAGGGGGATTTCATGCTTGGAAAGGTGAAGGGTCGGCAACGAGAGGAAGACCCTCTTTCAGGTGGACTGACGTGGTGACTGCAGCAGAGGGCTTGAGGGTGGTGGAGATCGTGAGAATGGCACAGGACAGGGCAGGGGTCAGAGCTGTTTCTCCCAGGATCTCCATGGGTTGTACTCAACTTGATCGCGCCCCTCAGGGCCCAGGGTTGTGGCCTCCTCTCCCTCATACCTGCCTCTCCGGTTCCCACCTGCAGGGGATGCTGTGCACACCTGAGCCCCTCTCCTGACTGGTGGAGCTCCAGGGACCAGCCAGTTCCAGAATGCCACAGAGAAGCACTCATTGTCTTCAGTTCCCAGGTCAAACCCTCAACCTCGTGACCACAAGATGGGCCAGAAGAAGGAAGACATGAGCTTCTCCATGACCACAGCCCCAGACCCACAGAGGCCAAAGCCACCTTCTCAGAGGCCTGTAGAGCTGGGCAGTCCAGGCTCGGGACAGTCCCAGACGCTTTACTGGGCAAACAGGTTACTTCTGGAAGATTTAGGGCATGGGGACACAGAGACAGACACCAGCCAGAGGTCGTTCCTGTCCACCAGCTTTGACTCCAATGTGCTCAAGTCCTGCAGAGCTGCCCCATCCCATGGGTGAGACTCTCTGAAGGGGAGCAGGACTCAGACCTCCCCAAGAAAGCCCACGCTCTGCGCAGCAGGAGACAGCACGGTGGGCTCCAGGAGTGAATGAGTGGCCGAGGGGGGCATCCGTGGAGGACACTGCCCCTGCCACTCACCTGCCCTCACCTTCATGGAGATGTCGGCCACAAACACTAGCAGACACAGCAGCTCCACGCTCTCGGTCAGCCCACAGGGCGGCTCCCAGCCTGCGGTGCGGTACCGGACGTCCGAGGACTTGGTGAATGAGGATGGGGTCTCCACGAAGGCCAGGCACAGGATCAGGAAGATGGTGAAGGAAAGGACCCTGCAAAAGGCACGCACGGGGCTGGAGGAAGGGCAGGCCAGCACACGGGGCCAGAGCCCTGGGGAGGCGGCGAGGGCAGGCATGGAGGATGCCCGGCCAGGCAAGGGCAGGCTGTCCTGTGCATGGCCACCAGTGCCTGGCTTGAGGGCAGGGAAGGACAGACGTGGGTGAGCCCTGATCTGTCTAAGGAAGAAAATCAAACTCGCTGGCATCAAATCAATTTCTGCCTCACACGACCCTGTAGCACAGAGTTAACTGTCTGTCCCACAAGGTCCCCAAGGTGTCTGCTGGGGAGGCCGCCTCTCTGGGAAGAAATCCTCTCATCCACTACTGTCCCGAGGAAGGGTCAGTACGAGAAGCTAGGGCTTCCCTCTCCACATGGGGGTAGGGGGCATCTGGTACCTGAGACCAGGTATGGCCTCCCTCCCAGGTGAAACCCCCCCCAGGACAGGTGAGGCCTCCCTCCCAGGTGAACCCCCCCCCAGCACAGATGAGGCCTCCCTCCCAGGCGAGACCCCCTCCAGCACAGGTGAGGCCTCCCTCCCAGGTGAAACCCCCCCCAGGACAGATGAGGCCTCCCTCCCAGGCGAGACCCCCCCAGCACAGGTGTGGCCTCCCTCCCAGGTGAAACCCCCCAAGCACAGGTGCGGCCTCCCTCCCAGGTGGAATCCCCCAGCACAGATGAGGCCTCCCTCCCAGGGGAAACCCCCCAGCACAGGTGCGGCCTCCCTCCCAGGTGGGCCCCCGGCCCGCAGGCGTCCTCACCCCTGGCACGAGTTGGAGTAATACCAGCGGTAGAACCACATGGCGCTGGTATCCATGCGGTGGTTGATGGACCGGTACTAGAAGTGAAGGGAACGTGGTACTGTGAGCACCTGCCCTGGACAGGTACCCACACGGCAGACACAAACACACGCTGTCACCTGAGGCGAGCTCATGGCAGGTGGCCAAGGCCCCAGGGCACCCCAGGCCACAGCAGCCCCTCGCGCCTAAAAGACCCAGAGACCTGAGGGCAGCACTGTCCATTACCCCGGATCCTAAGGCAGGTCCATGTAGTCACAGTACAGCCGGGGCTGGACGCCCCACGGTCACATGGAGCAGTGGCCGGGCAGCTAGACAAGTCGACCCCTCTCCCCCACCTGACTCCACACGCAGGGACACTGCCCACAGCACCTGCCACGGTGAGCCCGAGAAGGGGCTCCTTTTGCACCTCTGCCCCCTTCCCTGGGACCTAGCGTGAGAACCAGCAACTACCAAGCAAAGCAGGTGTGGGGCTCAGGGGAAGAGCCCCAGGATCCCATGTCCGGAGACCTCCCTGCCCACCTTGATGGCGTCTTCGATGAAGACCACGGCCTGGTCGATGCACAGAGTCTGACCAGCCTTGGGGCCTGCAAGTGAGAGGACACACGTTTACTGAGGGGCCCTGTGGGCCACTGCCTCAGCCGGTGGCGACAAGTCAATCACAGGGCCTTCTGCCCTGGGGTGGGGACCAGGCTGCATATAGGGGGACCTGGACTGGGAACAGGTCCATTGAGAAGTGGCACCCTGCCGTTCACAGCCCACAGACTAGGAGCGGGGTTAGACCCGGCTCTGCCTCACCGGGGTGACACCCAGGCCAGGTACCCAACTGCTCTCTGACCATCTCCACATCTGTAAAATAGGGGTGTCCATGGCCACCTCCACTCAACTCCCCACCAGGGAGCCAGACAACAAGGGAACCCAGGACCGTCTCAGACAGGGCTGATGACCCACGCCCCGTGAGTGAGGCAGTGCCTCTCTCTAACTCCTGGCCGCTGCTGGTTGTCCGAGAGGCCTTGGCCAGCGTGCTGCGGTCAGCTCCTTGGCCATGAGACGGGCTGACACTGCCGTATCAGCTATCCTGCATCACGAGGTCAGACGTCAACCTGACGGAGGACCGCTGCCCACGGCCACTCACGCCTGCCTTAGTCTTTCTGAGGTGCGGAGAGCCAAGAAGGACCAATCACACCGCTTCCCACTCCAAGCATCACTGCAGACAGAACTGCTCTGTGGGGCTTCCAAGGCTGGACAACTGTGTGCGGGTCCTGCCTCATCTTCACCCTGCAGAGCGGCTGGTGGATTTGAACCATCAACCATCGGGGGCAGCCAAGCGTTTAACCACTGTACCAGCAGAATTCCTCCGAGAGCCCAGGAGGACATGGTTTCACTGTGTCACTGTTGGGCGCCGAGGGTCAGGTGGCTGCCCAGCACCCCCCTGGACGCTGGCCCTACAAGGATCCAGGGTGCTGTGTCCATCACGGACCTGAGCCTCTCCCACAGCGCCCCAGCCAGGCAGATGGAGAGCTCCACCGGAGAGGGGGCCACAGCCGCAGTCAGAGGCTGAAGTCCACACTGCCAAGGGCCAGCAAAGGGGGTGTCTTGCCAACACATGACCCTCTGTCCACAGCTCGGTGCCCAGGAATGCAGCGGAGAGTCCGCAACCAGGTCCACTTCAGGGATGACTGGTGCACACAGCCTCTGAGGCTTCCGTCAGCAGGCTCCCCAGAAACTACGGGGTTCATGGCTCTTGAAATTAGACACTGAAGGGCCAGTGATAGTGGTAGCACCCTGAGAGATCTCTGGGCCACTGTCCACCCTGCTCACCACCCCTGGGGCCAGTTGTTCCTGCCCAGATTGGAGGTGGAGCCTGGAGGCCAGTAGGGGACAGAGAGGCCAGAGCCTGGCCCTCATCTTGGGTCTGCTGCCACCTTCTGAAGGGCGGATGGCCACTGGGCCCAGTGTGAAATTTCCCCAGAGTCCCTGCTTGCTGCCATGGTTACATCTGAGGAGCAGAGAAAGTGCAGGAGTCGGGAACACGCAAAGCGCAAGCTGCCTGACCTCCAAAGGGAGGCATAGGGTCCCCAAGATCCTGCCTCCCCGGGAAGAGGCTGACAGGCCAGGAAAAGCTAGTGAAATAGACAGGAAAGAGCACTGGGGGCAGTTAAGCGCTCAGCTACTAACTCAAAGGTTGGAGGTTCAAAACCACCCACGACTCCACAGGAGACAGACCCAGGAACCTGCTTGCAGACAGATGATGGGCTGGGGACCCTACGGGTCAGCTCTACTCTGTCACACGGGGCCACCAGGACCTGACTCAAAGGCATCTGACAGAACATGACGAGATTAAGGCCAGGAGGGGGTCAGGAAGGGGGGGGGCTCATGCCCAGGTCTGGGACACACGGCGTCAGGTACCCCAGAACTGGCCACCTCATGAGGTCTCTTCACCTGGTTCTTCGATTGTTTGGACCATCCCGGTTTGGGCCACCTGAGTTCCCCCAGTAGATAAAGTGCATGGCAACAGGTAAGTATCCATACGCTGCCCGAGGAACGAAGCAATCTGTTCTAGAAGTTGTACGGCTAGAACGCTCCTTTGAAACCAGGCCTGGAGACTCTGTCTCTGACACTCTGGCATGTCATTACCCGGGGCCAGTCCCTGCAGAAGGACATCATGCTCAGGTGTCCCCGAGGAAGATGGTCCCTGAGCTCACCAGACAGTGGCTACAACAGCGGACTCAACACGACCTGAGTCTGCGGGTCGCTGGGGGACGGGGCCACCTGGACAGCACCTAAGCACAGCGTTACCATCTCCCGAATTCCCTCCACCTCAGGCCAGCCTCTCGTCCCCTGGCTTCTTCATAACCAGTAAAAGGCAAAGATTCTCAGCCAGGCACAAGAGGAGGAAACGGCTGAGCAGCTGACCCATCAGTCTGGCGGAACTGGACAAACTGACCACACAGCCTGCGGTCCCGTCTGCAGGAGAGTCAAACAACGGGGATGCTGATTCTGTGCACAGTCATCCATTCAGAGCTCAGCCAGCCGCCCAGGCAAGGACGAAAAGAGTCCTTCTCAGCCCCCACTGCCCCGTATCTGCCCAGCCAAGTAGGCCAGGGTGCCCAAGATCGAACACTGGATGTCCTGTCCCTGTTCACAAATGTCCACGCTGGGAGCTAGACACCAGACAAAGAGCACTCACTCGGACCGACAATGTGGGTCCCAAGTGTCCAACTACTCTATCCACCCCCCCAACAACACCCAGTGTCCACAGCCCAAGACACAGGGTCAGCACGACCAAATCATTTACACTGTGTTAGTGTCCCCTGGGCCAGCTGGGAACCCTCATATCATCCTTCAGTACTTATTTTTAGAAAGAAGGAAACCCACTGCCCTTCTCATGGCGTCTCCTCTGTCTCACAGTCAGCGCTGTGTTACAAAGGAGCACTGCTCCCCAGGGTTTCGTGACTGACATCTTTACAGCAGCACGTTGCCAGGCCTCTCTTCCGCAGGGCTACTCAGGTGGGTTTGAAATGCCAGCCTTTTGGCCAGGAGTCTGCATTCACAAGGGCCACGGGCAGCACGATTACTGCCCACCTTTTCCAAGATTCAGAAAGGTGAAGCCACCTGCCAAAGGCACACAGCCAGGGTGGGGGTGGAGCACCAGTTCTGGAGACCAACCAGATCCAACCAGATCCTGGCCATCCCTGATCCCCGTCACCACAAGGCCTTGGTGCACGCTGCCCTGTACGTCCAGTCCAGGAAATGACCAGACACTGGGTCCAGAAAAGCTGCAGAGCTCAGCAGAAGAGTGCCGGCCCCAGGCTCCAGTTTTGGGAACTCCAGGGGCTGACACACCCCATTTACCATGGGGCATGGTGGTGGGGAGATAGCCTGGTCCAGTCAGCTTCTCCCAGACAGAGGAGGAAAGTGAGGTCCAGAGAGGGGAAGTGGCCGGGGCATGACACTCAGCTGGTCAGGCGGAGGCTGCACCAGAATCGAGGGCAGTGACCCCGGGCACGTCTAGGGGCCTAACTGGACCTCAGTGTCCTCATCCCGGCCCCAGGGGCCCACTGGTCTCCAACCTTCCAGGAACTGGACTATCTCTGATCTCGATCTCGGTGTAAACAGGAAGGACAAGCGGGAGCCGAGGGAGGGGAGGCTGGAGGCGGGCTGGTCGCTGCAGAGGCGGGAGGAAGTGGTCTGGACCCTGCCTCGGGGTCCCCTGGGGCTTTCCATCACTGCCCACCGGTTCGAATCCCGCCTCGGCCACTTGCCGGCTGCGCGACCCCGGCGAGGCTACTTCCTATCTCAAGGTCTCGCTTTCAAACTCTAGGCAGCCGTCCAGCCTCCGGGGTCACCGGACACCCTCGGGGAAGCAGGTGGCCCCTGCGCCCCGGGCGCTGGAGGGGCTGGACCTGCCCCGGCTCTCTACCAAACTCGGGGGGGGCGGGACCCGGCACCCCGAGGGGCCCCTCGCGCCGGGGCAGCCTGTCCGGCCCGGCCGCTCGGACTCCGGCCGGACGATGGGCCGCCCCCGCGCGACCCCTGCCCGGCACCCCCGTCTGTCCTCCCCGCGTCTCACCTCTGCTCTGAGCGTTGCGGCAGGCGGCCACTGCGGACTCGGCCACCGCCACCGCCGGGCAGGAAGGGGTCCGGCCGTCACCGCGGGTCCGGCCCAAGAGGGGCTCAGCCTCGGCCGGGGTCTCCGCCATCCGACCGCCGCCTCGCGCACAGCGGAGCCCGCCGGACTCCACTGCGCGTGCGCGGCCCCCCTCCCACCCGCGAGTTCGAGGGGGCGGAGCGCGGAGCTCTGTGACGCAGGGAGTGCCCCTTCGCGCTTTACCAATGAGAGCGGAGCTCTCGCTCCCGGGGCGGAGTTTGTAGTGTCCCCGCCCCTCAGGGGGTGGAGTTCCGCGCCTTTGCCTCCAGGCTGGGCAGTACCTGGGCGCTGCGGGGCGTGCCTGCCTGCCTGCCCGCCGGGGTTGCTTCACAAGGAACTTGCTAGGGATGCAACTTTTTCTCAGGCCTGCTGAGTCACAAACCCGGGGTGTATGTTCTAACCCGCCCCCAGGGAACAGATGCAGCTCGGTAGAGTTGACAACTTTTGGACTATTGAATCGGTGTTGGAGCAAACATACCCCGAAGCCCCTGGCGATCTGTTCCCGAAAGGTCACATCCTTGAAAACCCTGTGGAGTGCATTTCTACACCGCACATACACAGTGGTAACCAACAACCGCACTGGGGACTGGAGATGACGGTTAAAGTCTTTCCCATAAGGAGCCTTGAGATCATCTAATAACAAAATGAAGACTAGTAAGTATAGTCTTTGTACACGTTATCAGGAAGGGGCAATCTGTGAGAAGGACAGCATGCTGGGGTAAGAGGAGGAGTTTTTAGGCAAGCGAGATTGACACAGTGGTTGCAAAAAAGGGCTCAAACATAGCAACAATTGTAATGGTCCTGGGGATTTCCAGCCAAATCCTGTGTAACTGCATCAAATGACTGGTGGGGCTATGCAAATGAGGTGCCGGGACTCACCAAGGGGGTTGTAAAGCTTGCTAATAATGCAAATAAGATGCCTGCCACCTCAGCTGTTTCAGTGCAGTGTGCATCATTTATCCCCTCTCTTCTTAGTCCCCCCCTCAGTTCCCAATGTCAGTCCTGTCTTACAACAGTAGCATTATGCAGTATTTGTCCTTTTATGACTGAGATATTTCACTTAATTAGGTATTATTTGCATGACCAGAGTCCAGAATAAGAGCTGCATGGTAAAGTGGACTGGGGCTGTGTGTGTGTGTGTGTGTGTGTGTGTGTGTGTGTGTGTACAATGAAAGAATTTACTTATTTTTTCAAAGAGAAAAGTGAATGGGGGCCAGGGAAGAAAATGTGCAAGAATGAATGAATGGGAAATTTTTTTTTATAAGGTGCCTGCTACCCTACTGGAGGCTAGTTGTTGTTATGTGCCATTGAGTCATCTGAGATTTATAGTGACTCTATGAATATAATAACTCTGACCCTGCCCTGTCCTGAGCCAGTCTCATTGACTCTAACACAGCTAATCTCATTGCTTCAGTTACCATGCCAATCCCTCTTATCTGGGGTCTTCCTTTCCTGTGCTGTCCCTCCAACCTTCCAACCATGATGTCCTTTTAAAAAGACTAGTGCCTCCTCTATGAGGTGGATTGATTCAGTGACTGGGATAATTGGGATGGGAGTGTCAGAGACAGTGCAATTGGCACAGGACAGAGCGGAGTTTAGGGCTGTTGTACATAGGGTCGCTATGAGTCGCAGGCGACTCGACGGCACATAACAACAACAACAACAACAGTGCCTCCTAGCCATATGTCCATAGTATGTGAGACAGAGCTTCAAAATCCTTGCCTCCAAGGAGAAACTTGGTTTCACCTCTAAGACAGACCTATTTGTTCTCCTGGCGATCTCTGGTATGTTCAAGACTCCTCTCCAGCACCACACCTCAAAGGCATCAATTCTTTTCCTGACACCCTTAGTCATTGTTCAGCTTTCTGATGCATAGCAAGAAATTGCAAAGATCAGGGCCTGGATCAGGCACACCTTAGTCTCTAGGCTGACATTGTTGCTCTTTAGCACTTTGGAGAGGTCCCTGACAGCAGACTTCCCCAATGCAGTCCATCTTTTGATTTCCCAACTGCTGGTGCCAAGAGTGTTGACTGTGTTGCGGAGCAAGCTGAAATTGTTAGCCACCTCGATCTCTTCTCCATCCATCATGGTGCTGACAATTGGCTCAGCGGTGAGAATCTTTGCCTTCTTGATGTTAGGCTTCAACCCACATTGAAGACTACAGTCCTTTTCCTTCTGCAGCAAGTGCTTTAGGTCTTCCTCCTCCTACTGGGGCGTGGGACCATGTAACTAAAGTGTGTAGGAACTGGTCACCTTTGCCATTCTGCTAGACTTGAGATGAGCCACTCCAGAGGTGGAGAAGGGGGACCTCATTATCATGAAGAAGAGCTAGGAGGGACTTTTCCCTAATAAACCCCCTCACTGTGGATTCAGTGAGACTGTTGCGTAGACTCATCATATCCTGTAGAGAAGGGAGCACGCTGGGAGGAGTGGTTGGTGTTAGAATTGGAACAGAAGATTGAAGACGATTGTCTGACTTCCACCCCATTGAAGTCAGTCTTGAGTTGCTGATCTTGAGTCCCCCTCCGCCTAGTGAAGTTAGAGGTGGTCAGGGGCTGCCATGTGTTTGTTTTCATATTTGGCATCCAGAACAGGACTCCTTGCAAATGCCCCAGGATCATGGAAGCATTGGTCTTGTAAGAAAAGAGGATTGTGGGAAGTGAAACTTGTGATTCTTAGCTGGTTGGTTTCTAGCTGTAACAGAAATATTAAAAAAAAAAAAAGAAAGAAAGAGCTTGTGCGGGAGCAGCAGACAGGGATTTGAAGAACTAGAAAGTTACTTCTTGGGTGGCTTCAGACCAGATGGGCAAGATCCTGGGCCAGGGTCTTCCGGCTCCTCCCAGGCTGAAGCTGCAGAATATACCCATATGACCAAGAAGATAATAAAATATAGAGAAAAGAAGATAAAACCAGAAAGTTCGGTCTCCAGGCAAAACACACCACCATCAAATCAAATTTCACTCACGGTGTTGCTCTTCTTGGGAATTGACTGTTCAGCTTTCTTCATGGGAAAAACTTCACTTAAAGATCATCTTCTCATTCGTATGGATGCTTGGCAAAACGATCTTGCCTATCTCGATTTAAACATCACTAAAGGAGAAACTTGGACATCAATTTCCCTCATGAACATAGGCAAAAATAATCCTAAAAAATATCCTTACCGAGAGACTCTAACATTTTACTACATGTAATAATGCATCGTGACCAAGTGAGATTGCATAGCAGGCATGCAAGGATGATTCAGTATTAGAAAAACAATCAGTGTAATCCATCCATCACACAAGTAAAACAAGAGAAAAGAGTCATGTGACCCTAGCAATCAACACAGAAAAGGTGCTTGACCAAACTCAACGCTCTTGGCTGATAAAATACGACTCGGCAAAATAGGAACAAGGTAGGACAACAGTCCAGAATAAGAGGTACGTTGCAAAGAGGATGAGGGGGAGGGAGGTAATTGTGCAACAATGAAAGAATATTTTTTTTTAAAAATGTGAACTGGAAGAGGGGGATGGGTAGAGAGGAGGCAAAATGTGCAACAATGGATGAATGACAATCTAACGTTTCTGTTAACTTTCATTAAAATAATAAATTTTATTTAAAATACACAAGATATAACAATAAAAGCTAAATAGGAACGGGAAAGAAATTTCTCAATGTAATTAAAAGCTTGTGTATAAAATTAAAGACCAACGTGAGTCTCAACGGAGAGACTAAAATCATTCCCTGTAGATGGGAACCAGAGCAAGGTTTCCTTTTCTACCACTCCATTCACTGTTGCTGATGTTAGGGGCCGTCAAGTCCAGGTCAGTGCAGGGGACACTATGTACAACAAACCTAAACCTTGTTCTATCTCGCACCTTCCTTGTAATCTCTGACGTACCTGCACCCAATGTTGCAATCACTCTGTTGATCCGTGTTGTTAAGTGTTTTCCTCTCCTGCTCTGACCTTCACCTGTCCAGGTATGGTGTCCTTTTCCAGAGACTGACCCCTCACGAAAACATGCCCAAAGTACGTGAGATAAGTCTCACCATCCCTGTCTCTAAGGAACACCTGGCTGTGTTACTCTCAACAACAACAACAACAAAAACCAAACCAGATTTGTTTCTTTTTCTAGGGAGTCTATTCAAGACTCTTGGCCAACACCACAATTCAGTCAGCAATTCTTTTCATATTCATTGTCCAACTTTTACATGCCTATAGGACAATCTTAAATATAGTTTGGGTCGGGCACGTCTTAGTCTTTACGTTGACATACTTGTTCTTTATCCCTTTTTAAAAAATCCTTGGCAGGAGAATTGTTTTTAATTCAGTGCACTATGCGCCTTGATTTCATAACTGCTACCTCCGCTGGTGTTGATTATGAATCCAAGAGAAAATATATCTTTGACAACTTCAGTCTTTGATTAACATATCATGATGTTGCCTATCGGTCCACTTTGTTTTCTTTTTGTTGAAATGTAGGCTATGGTCTTTAATCTTCTTAAGTAAGTATGTCAACGTCTCTTCACTGTCAGTAAGCAAAGCTGTATCGTCTGGGTATTGCTGATTGCTAGTTGGCCTTCCTCCAGTCCTGATGACACATTTCCCCTCCTATAGGCCAGCTTCTCAGAATGTTGTTGTGGGTGTCATCAACTTGACTGACGGCCACATGATGAACAATAGATCTGAACCTGCCCTCTCCCGCACTTTCCGTCTCATTGTTCAAGTGCTCCAGTCCATTGTTACAGTCTCTGTCAATCCAGTTTGTCGAGGGGCTTCCTCTCTTCCTCTGACCCCCCACCTTCCCCACCATAATGTCTTTTTCTAAGGACTGGCCCCTCCTGACAATATGTGAGCCTAGGTTTCACCACCCTGGCCCATAAGGGCACTCTGGCTGCACTTCCTCCGAGATAGATTTTTGTTTCTTTGGGCACTCCATGGGATATTCAGTTCTCCTCCCCAACACCATGGTTCAACGGTGTCAGTTCTTCTGTCATCCTTATTTCATGTCCAACTTTCAGATGCGTAAGAAGCAATTGGAAAAGTCATGACTTGGATCCGGCGTATTTTAG